CAGTCCCCCGTGACCATGGGTGCTGGAAAGCACCCGAAACGTCGGGTATTAAAATTAATATAAATAAAACGCGATAAAATCCGTAAAAGTAGTTTTAATAAAAATATATTTTTAATTTAAATGTTATAATAAGTTTTGTTAAACATACATTAAGTATGTTTTTTATATTTTACTTAGATACCTTTCAAAATATTCAGACAAAAATATCATTAAAATGTAATTATGATATAATATTATGTAATATTATATTAAATAAGCAAATATAATATACAAAATAAATGACAAAATTTAAATATAGTTCTCGATATAATTTAACTATTTAACAATACAATCTACTATTACCTACGGGTCATTCTACCTATGTTTATTCTATGATAAAAAAACAACCGCGCGAACACAGAGTAGCGCACATTTTTTGTTTGAGATAGCTGTTCTAGTACGTTAGTACATATTACTTCAATGTCATGAAGAGTCCCTCTTACTTCATAAAGTCGGCCAACTGCTGGCCCCTTGGGTGCAACGAAACGAAATTTATCCGAATATCCGAATTTCTCTACTTACAGCTCACCGTTCTCTCCTGCCTAGTTTTGCGTTGAAGTCTATCATTAACACCGTAAATGGGTTTTAGAGGAATGCATGGCTCTTTTTTTTAAATAGAAAAGCGGGCAAACGAGCATACGGTTCACCTGATGTTAAGTGACTACCGTAGCCCATAAACAACCGCAACACCATGGGAATTGCAGTTGCGTTGCCGACCCTTTAGGTCCCTAGGTCGTATCAAGCCGGAAACACTGCCGGTGGTAAATTATTCCACAGAGAGGTCGTACGCGGAAGAAAACTCCTAGTGAAACGTACAGTGGTGGACTGTCAAACATCCAGATAGTGTGGATGGTATTGGGAGCTTTGCCGCGTAGTGCGTTTATGAAATTTGGCGGCTGGGATTAATCCGAACAATTCCTCAGCACTGCCAGTAATAGATGCGATAAAATACGCAAAGAGATGCAACATCTCTTCGCAGCGCTAGTGAATCAAGCCGATCGGAAAGCAATCGGTCGTCGACGATTCAAGCCGCACTGCGCTGGATGCGGTCAAGTGCAAGGAGCTGGTTCTGAGGAGCCCCAGCCCAGAGATGGGAACAGTATTCCAAGTGCGCCCGAACCTGCGCCTTGTAAAGTCGCAGGCGGTGTGCCGGCATGAAATACTGTCCCGCTCTGCTGAGCACTCCAAGCTTTTTAGAGGCCAATTTGGCCTTCTCTTCCAAGTGACCAAGAAACTGCACGTCACTCGATATGTCGACGCTGAAGATTCCGATACTGGCTAAGGCAACAAGGGGAGTGCCTTGAAACTGAGGAGATACGACAGAGGGGTTCGTTTTAGGGGTTAACACGCAAACTTCTTCTGAGGTTTAAACTAGACTAGATTTAGTCGCCCCCAAACCGAGACTTTATTCAGCAAAGACTCGACTTCAGATACAAGACTGTCCCGGTACTCGGAAACGTTTTACCGAGAAATTTTGGCACGGCCGGTGTACAGAGCATCACCAGTGCTGTCATCTGCATAGCAATGAATGTTATAGGTTTGCAACATATCATTGATATGCAGAAGAAACAGCGTTGGTGATGGCACGCAGCCTTGTGGAACACCAGCATTAATAGGCTTGTAATCGGAGTTTGCACCGTCTACAACGACCTTCATGCTCCGATCTGCAAGAAAGCTGGTGATCCAATTGCACAATTTCTCGGGAAGTATATAGGAAGGGAGCTTCGAAAGAATCGCAAAGAAAGACCGCATCCTATCCCAATCGGTTGACCTATAGTGCCAAACAGGGCGGCAATCCGCGATTTCAGCATGTGTGACCGATCTCGAACCATTGTCTTGTCCGGAGTGTGGTGCCACACTCCGGACAAGACAATGGTCCGAGGAGCCTAAAAGGGCGTCGACGGAAATCTGATATCCGTCCGGATGAGAGATCAGCAGAAGAGAAAGTGTATGATCCTCCACATCTGGAATCCGCGTAGGCCAAGTAACCAGTTGTGTCAGACCATATGCCAAGGCAAAATCATGAACAACCCCCCCCCCCCCCCCGCACGATCGATTAAACGTGAACCAAGCCACTCGGCGTGGCGGGCGTTAAAATCGCCGAGGATCACGATCTCTGCGGAGGGGATCTGCTGTAGCAACGAATCTGTAGCTATTTGGACGTGGTCGGAGAGTCGGTCTGTTTCGCAATCACCGCTATGGGACCTATAGAGGCACTCTTAGACGCGCGGATGGACGTCGCTGTCTATGCGTAGCCAAACGATGGACAGGTCCGAACATTCAAGACTGCCGAGGCGTCAAGAACAGATGTCCTCTCTGACGTATACGCTAACTCCAGCCCGAGGCCCAAAGGAGTGTTCCAGTTTGTACCCCGGGTAGGAGAGATAAGAAGCATCAGCCGGAGAGGACACCTGCGTCTCGGTCAGAAAGAGCAGAGCCGGCCTTACCGTCTCGAGATGGTAGCGGACGGCGTTTAGGTTAGAATGAAGTTCCCTGATAATGCAGAAAATCGCGGATAGTGTGCCAGGGGTCGCCTTGGTCTTGTTGCTCCGTTTGCCCCGAGCAGTTGTTGTCTTGAGAGGTATCACCCACGCTCAGGAGTGGAATAATTTGGTGGATACTCTGCAAGAGATTCTTCAGGAGTGCTGGGGGTATATTTTTACTTAATTCCATTAAGGGGGGGGGGTGGAATGGGGCCCCGACCACCTACAAACACCAGACGAAACGCGGAAGCTGAGCTTCCACTTTACGCCGGTATTCTATGAGGTCGTGGTACCATCCCGGTTTAAGCCGGCCCATATATGCAACAGCAAAGCTGCCGTGTGGCTCTAGAGATAAACTCATACATTTCCTCCACGAGGTTGGTGCGTAAACCTGTATGACCTTCAGCGAATACCGTTTGGTGATTCTGAGTATAAGGTACGCAACCCTCGTCGACACACTTCCAATCTTTACAACGTTGTTAACGAGAGACTTGTGGACGATACATCCGACACCTCCTTGGGACAGATGGTCGCCCTCCCGGTGATAGAACAAGTTGCGGGATTCGAAGATTACCGTGTCCTCCCCTCTTTTCGAACCTCAAATAATCCTTAATTCAAATTTAATATCTATAATCCACTAAAATCCTATAATATCTCTGTGCAACTTGTCTATCTCTTCTTCCAGCTCATTTGATCAGCTCAGCTGATCTTCTCGTCAGTCCTTAGGGTGCATGCGTTATATGTACACCCCCTGCCACTCCGTTACCATGGTCGCCACCGTAACCAGGAATTGCGGGCCGCCGGGGACTGGGGGCCGTTTCTTTGTGTCGTTGCTCATGGGGGGAGGTATATTTTCACAAATGTCACGCTTAGCGAGTGGGTTGGTAATCGTAGTTGTTTTATTGCTGTTTGCTGTTATCGGAAAGATGTTGCCGCCCATCTTCTGCCTCAGTTTCCCTGTGTTGCCTCTTACGATAACCACGAGAAGATACACAATTAAATAAAAGCCCAACCAGATGGAAACCCTCGGCAGGTGAGACTAAACGGCCGAGAGTTTGGGGGAAAGGAAAGAAACCCGCGGACAATGTGGGCGGTATTGAGGAGCGCCGCCTTCTGCATTCGAGTATGGAGCATCCCGACACGGAGTCCCAGTCACTTCAGATGACCGGGATTAACCCATTCGCAGTAACAACTACAGGAATCATTTCGGTCCCCAGACCACCCCACGTGTCGATCACCTCGTGAGCCAGCTCCAGATATTTTGTTTTCTTATCTGATTCGGCTTTCAATAGATTCTCGTCATATGGAATGGTAATTGCGACCAAAAATATCATTTTCGAGCACGGCTTCTGGCAAGTACTTATAATAAGGCAGATATTCAGTCCACGAGACTGTATTTCAGAGCGAGTTCCTGGTGTAGAATCCTGGCTACTAGATTGTGCCAGTGCATGTACTCAGAGTTACAAAGCACAGAACAACCATAGATCATATGCCTAAGTGACTCACCGGGATGGCGAAAAGCTCGACAGATGTCGACGGTGCTATCTTTTAGGATGTATCTGCGATAGTTGTTGGTCTTAATAAACTGATCCTGTATTGCACTGTATTGCAGTTTTAGCCATATATAGGGAACCGAGTCGAATACCTTTCTATAGTCTATCTAGGCGGTAGAGAAGTTTCGTCGGTTGCGCTGAACCACTTTGCCAATTACCGCGTCAATGAGAAGTGGTTTCTCGATTCCACTCGCAATCTGGCTCGCCACATCTTCCATCCAAGGGCCCTCGGTGTGGTTTACGGGCTCTGACCACAGGCCACGCCAGAATGCGACAGTGTCGGCCAGATGTGGTACTCCTACCTTTGGTCGCTCCAACGATTTAGATGATAGAGCCTATTCTCCCTGGAAGAAGCGATTCTAGTTGAACCGCCTTAACCTCTCGGTATATCGCCGAATCCGCTTCCCCTAAGCAGCGATACTTTGCTTCAGGTCATCTACGCGCTCCGTTAGTTTTTGCGTGGTATCCGGCTGGGAGCAACTGATATTTGTCCCAGAAAACGCTATTTTAACGGTGCGCACAACTCTCGGCCTATTATTACCCGACCTGAAGCTTGTCAGTCTGCCGACGGTAGCCTTTTGCCTTTGCGATATGGTTTTAAATTATTTTTCTCCAGGCTAGTATGGCGCTACATTGTCTAGTAGCGAGTCCAATCGTGGGAAGTTTGGCGCCAATAATACGGCAAACTACCAGTGTGGCGCCAAAAAGAATTGAGTTCGTCTCGCAAAAGTCCCGGCTGGCTTTCAAATAGGTCACCAGCATTGGGTTAAGAGCCCGCACGACAGCCCGATTCCGCTTGCTTAGGGGTATGCGGGGAAGTCGCGATCGATTTTTGAGAGGCGTACTGCGCGTTTCCATCAGCGCCTCTTCCAATATGCACCTCATTTTCTCTTGTTCGTGGGAGACTATTACATCATCGTCTGAATCAACCACAACTGGAATATCCACGACACCATGCATGTTGCTGTGCAATTAGTGGCGCCGCATTCCCCGTCGTAGCATTTTCATCTGATGAGTGAACAGCCTCAGGTCGTAATCGTTCGAGTTCAGCGTCACCAAATATGTTGGAGCACAGGATGTACCGAACTCGGTCTGTCAAGTTTCGCTCAGTGACGGTTAGAGATGGCTCCAGCTCCGCAAAGAAGCGATGCATCCGAGCCCGATACGCCAAATTTTCAGTTTCTTCCTCTTTTGTCCTAAAGTACGCCCGCAATGCGTTTGCGTTCATTATTTGTGACGAACGCATGCGACGTGTTCCACCAGCGGCGGGTGCCGCTTGCTGAGTCCGAGCAAACCCAGCCAACACCAAGCCTTCTGTTTGTTCTGTTTCACTATTTTTTTTCATCACTTAAATTGTGCGTCAAGTAACGGGAGGCGTCCCGGCCCGGCGCCGTATCGTGTACGGCCTTTGCACCTGCCGAGGCACGGCTCTCACATTTTTAGCAAGGCGCTGACTGACTGCGCTGACGTAGCAGTTTTGTCACTTAACTTCGTTACGTCAGCGGCCGATGTGGTCGTCAATTTCATACGCCTTAGATTTTATTATTATTATTATGGGGTATCTATATAGTTTTCTCATCTGGTTGGGTTCTATAAATATATAATTATAAATGAAAATGAAAAGATAAATATACATAAATATCAATAATATAAAATAAATATAAAAGTACATAAATAAATAAAAGCCCAACCAGATGGAGGCCCTCGGCAGGGGAGACCAAACGGCCGACGGTTGGGGGGGAAAGGGAAAGAAACCGGCGGACAATGCGGGCGGTATCGAGGAGCACCGCCCTCTGCATTTGCCACTGCCTGGAGCGTTCCGCCACGTAGTCCCAGCCGCCTCAGATGACCAGGGATTAGCCCGTTCGCAGAGACAACTACAGGAATAATTTCGGTCCGCAGACCACCCCACATGTCGGTCACCTCGTGAGCCATGTCCAGATATTTTGTTTTCTTGTCTGTTTCGGCTTTCACGAGATTCTCGTCATACGGAATGGTAATGTCGACCAAAAATATCCTTGACTGTGCCCGGTCCATCAGCACAATATCAGGCTTATTCGCAAGAATAGTCCTCGCTGTGATGATGTCTCGGTCACAATAGAGCATGGCGCGATCATTTTCGAGCACGGCTTCCGGCAAGTACTTGTAATAAGGCAATTTCCGATCCACGAGACCGTATTTCAGAGCGAGTTCCTGGTGTAGAATCCTGGCTACTAGGTTGTGCCTGTGCAAGTACTCAGAGTTAGAAAGTGCCAAACAACCGGAGATAACATGCCTAAGTGACTCACCGGGATGGCGACAAGCTCGACAGATGTCGACGGTGCCATCCTTTAGGATGTATCTCCGATAGTTGTTGGTCTTAATAAACTGATCCTGTATTGCACAGACAAAACACTCGCTTTCCTCGAAGGGTTCATCAAAGCGTAGCCAGTGGAAGGAGGCAACTGTGTCTACGAAAGGCTCATGAATAGCCTTGTAGAACCTCCTGTGAAGCTCCTTCTCCTTCCATACGGTCTCCGGGTCGGAAATCCTCTGTATTGTCGGGCCTTGCCATTGCTCGTTGGCTAAGAATAGAAGGCTTAGCCCTTTATCACAAGAAATGACGTCCTTATAGAACGATCTCGCCGGGAAGTAATCACGGAGGCTGCACACTTCGCGATTATGCATGGTGAGAGCGCTCAAGAAGCCACGACCACCATGCTTCCGCGACAAGTACAGCCTCATTATCGACAATCTCGGGTGATGCATCCATTATGGACGACATGGTAGTGCGGACTTTTCTATCCAGGACGTTAAGTTCAGTCTGACTCCATCGGTATACGGACTATATCGGAGTACGCCAAAGGTATACATGAGGACAGGCATGACCCAACCGTTTTATGCCTGTGTCTTACTAAGGCCCGATAAAAGGCTGTAAGAACTTTTGTCAAGCGTGTGTAAAACACATCGCAAACAGACTGTTTCATGTCCGCCTGATCGATACCTATGTTCTGTGACATACCAAGGTATCGGTATGTATCTTAATCGGAAAGGGTCCTTATGACGGCATAGATAAGTATACGCCCTCAGAGTTGGCAACTCTTCCCCTTTCAATATAGAGGACCGCACACTTATCCGTCCCCAGCTCCATTCCAATGGAATTGCTAAATTCACAAGCGATGTTCAGCAATTTCATAAGAATGGGAGCGATTGGAGTCGAACAACTTGAGATCATCCATATAGAAAAGGTGGGTCACTTTTGTCCCTCCTTTCCGTAGCTGAAATCCCGCCTCCAGTAAGGTACTGAGAGGGTTCAGAAGAGGCAGAACCAGATTGGACTCAGACAATAGCCCTGGAAGATACCCCTTCTTATCCTTATGTGGTTCTCCGCAGCCGTCATCAGCTCGCCCAGATGACAAAGGACCGTACTCCACTGCCCCATACCCTGCTCGAGGAAGTCCCTAACTGTACAGTCTATCTTGTACAGCTCGAGGACTCTAAGCTTTAGCCATATATGAGGCACCGAGTCGAATGCCTTTCTATAGTCTATCCAGGCGACGGAGAAGTTCCGACGGTTGCGTTTCACCACTTTGCCAATTACTGCGTTAATGAGGAGTGGTTCCTCGGTTCCACGACCACCGCCCCGACATCCTAGCGCGCGACACAGATGAGTCCAGGTACTCGCGCTCAAAATATTTATTCTTGTATATGTGTACACTGATGGGGCGGTATTTCTCGGGTCTGTGGTACCCTGGTCTTTAGAACCAAATAGACCCAGTAGGGAATAGGCTTGGGAGCGACTTCTGGTAAGCCCGCGGCAAGCACAGAGTAACACACCAGAACCTCTTCAGCCAGTGCAGCCCGCACCCCCCTTCGGGGCCTTCACCCCTCCTACTCATCCCGTTATGATGACGGGGTCCTGGGCGTAATACCCGCACACTGACTCGCCACAACTTCCGTCCAAGGGCCCTCGCTGTGGTTTACGGGCTCTGACCACAGGCCGCGCCAGAATGCTACAGTGTCGGCCTGATTCGGTGCTAGACCCGTTCCACTTACCATTGGTCGCTCCAATGATTCATAGAGCCTCTTCTGATCACTCTGGAAGAGACGATTCTGGTTGAACCGTGTCGACCTCTCGGTATATCGCCGAATCCGCTTTACCCAAGCGGCGATTCTCTGCTTCAGATCATCTATGCGCTCCGTCAGTTTTTGCGTTATATCCGGCTGGGACAAACTGACATTTGTCCCAGCAAACGCCATCCTGACGGTGCGCACAATTCTTGGCCTATTATTGCCTTATCTGAAGCATAGTCAGCCGATGATAGCCTCTAGCCTTTGCGATAGGTTCCTTAATTCTTCTTCTCCATGCTGGGATAGCGCTACTATGGCCAGTAGCGAGTCCAGCCGTGGAAACTTTGGCGCCTATAATACGGCAGACTGCCAGCGCGGCGCCAAAAAGAATTGAGTCCGTCTCGCAAAGGTCCCGGCTGGCTTCCAAATAGGTCACCAGCATTGGGTTCAGAGCCCGCACGACAGCCCGATTCCGCTTGCTTAGGGGTATGCGGGGAAGTCGCGATCGATTTTCGAGAGGCGGACTGCGCGTTTCCACAATCGCCTCTTCCAATGTACTCCTCATATGCTCTTTCCGTTCGTGGGAGACTGTTCCATCATCGTCTGAATCAACCACAACTGGAGTATCCACGGCATTATGCACATTTGCCGTTTGCTGAGCAATTAGTGGCGCCGCATCCTCAGCCGTAGCATTCTCATCCGACGAGGAACAGCCTCAGGTCGTAGCCGTTCGAGTTCGGCGACACCAAATATGTTGGAGCGCAAGATATACCGAACTCGGTCTGTCAGGTTTTGCTCTGTGACGGTTAAAGATGGCTCCAGCTCAGCAAAAAGACGATGCATCCTAGCCCGATACGCCAAACTTCCAGTTTCTCCCCCTTTCGCCCTAAAATACGCCCGCAATGCGTTTGCTGTTCATTATGGGTTGTGACCAACGCATGCGATGCGTACTCCACCAGAGGCGGGTGCCGATTGCTGCGGCCCAGCCCGCCCGCGAAGACGCGCCCTGCCGACACCAAGCACTACCAGCTGGTGGGGCTTATTATTATTATTAACGGATATATTTCTGTTCCAGTGTTGGGCCCTTAGCTTAATTGCCCCTCGATTTTATATAAGTACTAGCGATCCGCCCCAGCTTTGCACGGGTGATTCTAGATCTCGACAACAGCGCCACCTACCCGGTACAATTAAAATTTTTATACCATCCACTGACCCACTCAAATAAACACAAAATAATTAACTAAAATCGGTTGAACAATTTTCGACTTTAATTTTTATATTAATATAGAGATTATATATTTTAAAGCAAAAAGGTTGGTTAGTTTTGAACATATAAATATTGAAAAAGTAATTATACTATGCTGTCACAACCGCATTACCAAAATGTCATCAAATGTAATTAATGTGCTAAATGTCAGTAATATAATTTCCTCGCATTATATTATCTTGTGTAACGGATGCGACAGTGACAATGAAAGGATTCTAAGTTAAATATAGAAATTGAGCACGTCAAAGATGCCAAATAAATATAAAAAGGAAGAATTATCTTGTGAGCTGTACAGTAATAAGTTTTTCATGCTATGTATGGCTGGTGGAGCTCTTGCTTGTGGCACGACGCATACCTTCGTTACTCCTTTAGACCTGGTCAAATGTCGGCTCCAAGTGGATCCGAGAAAGTACAAATCAATATTCAAGGGCTTTTTTGTATCTTTCAGAGAAGGAGGTTTAGCCAGTTTGGTCAAAGGTTGGGCGCCGACCTTCTTCGGCTATTCGTTACAAGGCGCTGTCAAATTTTCTGGCTATGAGTACTTTAAATACAAATTCGCAGGAATGATCGACGAGGAGTCTGCATATCTGTACCGGACGTATTTGTATCTCACTGCGTCAGCGTCGGCCGAATTACTTGCAGATGTGGCTTTGTGCCCGTTCGAAGCGGTTAAAGTACGAATGCAGACAACGCCCTATTACACGTCACAGATGCGAGAGGCCATGCCGCATATGCTCGCCACAGAAGGCTTTGGCGTTTTCTACAAGGGAATCGTGCCTTTATGGGCGCGGCAGGTTCCGTACACAATGATGAAATTCGCTTCGTTTGAAAAGACGCTTGAATATCTCTACGCAAAACTCGTTCCTAAGCCAAGAGACGAGTGCACGAAGGGTGAACAGCTAATCGTGACTTTCACGGCTGGTTACATCGCTGGAGTACTTTGCGCGATAGTCTCACACCCAGCTGATACTATCGTATCCAAGTTGAATAAGGAACCGGGTTCTACAATAGGTGGGATTATGTCTGAGGTGGGTTTACTAGGCATATGGCGGGGCTTGACTGCTCGAATCATCATGATCGGTACCTTGACTGGTTTACAATGGTTTATCTACGATGCATTCAAAGTGTATACTGGTATGCCCCGTCCTCCTCCTCCAACGATGCCGTTGTCACTAAAGAAGAAGTTAGAAGGAAATAAATGAAGTGAGTTTTTTAAGTAAAATGTGTGATATACATGACATTAAAATTCGAATGTTTGTAATTGTTTAATCTTATCACAGTAATATTCTTATACTTATATATATTATAATGTAGTGTGAACTTCAGTTGAGGCTAAATTCGGGTTTCTCTGCGTGATAGACTTAGAAATGACGATAAGCAGTAGTGGGACCAGAATAACTGGAATATCCCAACGGATTAGTAAGTTGAAGTGGCAGTGGGCCGCCTGGATATATATATTATCCATGATTCTTTCGTTTGATCCAGATCGCATCAAAGTATGATTGAAATTATATTTTTTTGATCTTTCGGGATCAAACGATTGACAGGACCTACGACCAAAGAGTATAGTAATGTCCGACGACCGACATTATCAAGCGGGTCTCAGAAATCAAAAAGCACGAAAACTCAAAATGGTCCATTTGAAAGATCGACCCGAAACGAATCAATACTTGAATGATTGGATCGCTAAAAATAAATAAATGACGCATATATAGTATTAATACTTAACTTCGGCTTTCTCTCATTAGCCATAATTTTCATCAATCAGAGTCAGGGTCGCGATGGCGATACCAGGCGTTTAGTATGTTGCTTGTTATCGTTGGTTTGTGTATTTTTTGGTTGGTTTTTGTCAGAAGGGCATGATTACGCTAAACACGGGATAAATCCATGCTCAACCTCCTCGTAAGATTAGAAAAAAGTTCGCCACGGATGTAAAAAATAGGGAGAATATATGAAGCAGCCTAGACTACAAGTTTTTTTGTCAATGATACACGCACAAATGACAATAAAGGTCAGTTGCAGTGGGCATCAGTTTTAGAGCTGACCACAGAGTACTTTCTAATACACTCGAAATGATACGAACTGTATACTGGCGCTGATTGGCCGACCTTAATGTTTTAGTGAACGTGTACAGAATTGTAAGATCTAGGATGCTTTACACATTTAAAGTGTAAAATTCCGTATTTTACAATATCTGTTAAATTCCACATATAGGTTCTCAATACATTTAACTTTAATTTACTTGTTTATAGCTTGCGTTTATTAATATAATGAACACAACTAATGAGCTCTTAAGATATTTAATACCCTTTGTATTATATTATAATTATTTATGTACAGTGATAAATTTCAACAGCGTAACTAGACTGTAGGTATTTGAAAGCATGCCCGTATACATTCCGTTTGCCAATATTCAGCATAGCTGTGTGATGGAATCGAATGTGTGTACTACCCGTATATTTTCCTGCTTTTCTGGAGCTAAATTGATAGCAAGAAATAAACAAAGAAATTATTTATTTGACGCAAACTATTGATGTAAACAATGTACACAGTTACAGGTCAGATTATCTCAAAAAGTTCATTACTCAGCGTACCTAAATTTAAAAACGCTACCAGCGTTCAGCATTTCGGGACCGGAGGATATGTTGAGATCAATGAGCTGATGATAATTGTTAGTACAGTAATGTAGCATTTTTAATTCGGAACTTTACCCACCAATCCAAAGCCCGTTGCTGTCAGTCAAGTACTATCATAAGTTTCACCTTACATAATGATTTCTTATATTTACGCGAACACTACACATTTAAATAATACTAGATTTTACGGATTTTATCGCGTATATTTTTTTTTACATATCCGACGTTTCGAGCACTTTACAGTACCCATGATCACGGAGGGGACTCAGCTTATATGTGTTATACCAATAATGATTGAATGAAAAAATAGTTAGAAAGAAGAAGAAAGGGAAAGAGAGAGAGAGTGAAAGATAGAGTGATAAAGAGAGGATGAGAGGGAGAGAGGGAGGTAAAGAGAGAGAGAGAGGGAGAGAGATTCTTATAGAAACACCACATTGTTCACATGGGTCTCCGGTTCTCTACACTCATCATACAAAAACAGAAGCACAGCACCGTTAAGTTAAGCTATTTTACCCCGGTATTCTGCGAGGCATTGGACCTTCCCCGATCAAGCCTACCCGCGCTACAACTATGCTACTAATATGGTTGCAGCATGGCTCTACCACGTATAAATGTTTTTTTTAATCAATAATAAATTTAGGAAATGATACTGATAAACACATCAGCCCCAAGCTCCTTATCATCACGTAGTCAGGGTTTTTTTTGTCACCATTTTTAGTAGGAAAAGAGGTAAGACACACATATCAACACGGCATGTCAAAACCTAATCAAGACCTCTAACACTTATATGTTTTTGCAAACGTGGTAATGTGGTGCAAATATAATTTTATAACTATCAAATAGCAATTTTTACACTGTGTTCCCGTCTGAAGGGTATAGAGCCAGTATTATTACTGGATGTGAAACATCCAGACAGCTAGAAAACAGGCTATAAAATTTCAATGCGCTGTATATGTAGCGGAAAGTGCTTTCGTTTCTAGCGTGTGATACTAAGTTCTTGTCCGGTCAGCAATAACAATAATATGTGGACTTATCCCGGCATCGCGAACCACACACGAGATCTGTCCGCAGCGTAACATTAGCTTGACCTTAGCCACAGAGTAATCAGTTAGTAGTGTTGTACGAGTATTATAGAAAAGAATGAAACTCCGGTTCTTGTGCTTTGTTTAAGTGTTCTGAATGCTTATTGTTTTTATACAAGTAAAAGTGACAAACAAAAGTCATTCTACAAGTTTTACTTTCTTTCTCTTTAGTTTTCAGGCTTTCGTATCCAAAAGGTAACCAACAGGACCCTATTACTAAGCCTCCACTCTCCGTCTGTCCGTTCGTTCCTTTGTCTATCAGCGGACTGTATCTCATAATCCGTAATAGGTAGACAGTTGAAATTTTTAAACATTATATATTTTTGTTGCCGCTATAACAACAAATAATAAAAAGCAGAGCCGTAAAAAAACTTTTTTCCCATTAAAATTAAAAAGTCTCAAAAAACCCAAAGGGGCGGCCCAAAACATAACACGAAAAAAAATAAAAATTACGATGGTACGGAACCCTTCAAGTGCGAGTTCAACTCGCACTTGGCCGGTTTTATATTTTTAAAGGACGTTAACTCTACGCTTGGATTTTCTCCTCTATCGTAGTTTACATACATTCATTTCACTAGGACAAATATTTAATATGTAACAAATATTTTTAAGGCCATACAAATGGTTGTTCCATGCGAGATTTGAACCCGCAGCCTTTAGCGCTGCAACTCATTGGTAAGCCACTGTGCCACGGAGCCGTCAATAAGTAGTAGTAATTGCTTTAGTTGTTATTAAAAATCCATAAAGTGAATTCGATGATAAATTCACTTTATAGATTGTCTCCTCACTTTTAAAATTGTCTGTGGTGTGGTAGAACTCCCTTTTTATCTAACAGTTCACCATTAGTTAGTCCTCTTAGTTCGTCTGGGTAAAACCCCTTTAAATATCTGTGTCGTGTAATGAGAGCATAGAGATTATAGAGAGTATAGAGAGCCAGGCTATTAGGCATCGAGGTGATTACGCATCCGTGGCCTGTTTTGTATGAATCTGTTTACTGGTAACCCTGGGCTCCAATAGACACTTACCGTCAGGTGAACTGTCAGTTCGTGTGACATTTTAATTTTATTTAAAAAAATGACATGTAAAAGTAATAAGTAATAGATAATACGTATTAAACATTTTATACGTAAGATTCTACGTAATAGTCAGGCTATAGCTATTGTGGTTGTAGCACGAATAGGTCGTAGGCAGTGGAAATACCACGCTCCCACAGAGTACCTTAGTAAAATAGCAGCTTAATGCTGCTGTGTTTCATATGATGAGCGTGGAGAACCAGAGACCTTGTTACTGGAAATGAGGCGTTTCATCTTAGTCCTCAGGGGTGACAAAGCATCTGCATTTTTATTCTTAGTTGAGGATAAATTTCGAATTCTGTAGACTACAGTATCCACTTACGCTGTACTCGTTTGTTACCCTAAAAATGAGACACGAAGTTACACTCTCTCTGATCATAAGTGGCTACTGCAAACCCTGGACAGCTGAAGCCAAATTCAAATAAAAAGGCAGTTGATGCGTTGTACTTATAAGGATCAAGGTGGAATTTCTCACGGCCTGTAATTATAATGCCTCTTTATATCCTTCAGAATAGAAACTTACAGTGTAAGCACAGTTATAAATCATCTTAGTCCTAAAGGTCCTCATTTTCATTTCACATCGGTTCTTAATTAAAAATAGATGTCTATGAGCTACAGCATCCACTTACCCCTCAGGTGGACTGTGTTCTAGTTTATCACTCTTGTTCTATATAAAAATAAATAAAATAAAATAAAATATGTAACTAGTTACGCTGGTATTATCTACACTGTGTAGAACTGAGTTGATTGTAGAGGCGGCAATGTTTTATAAGTCGGGACCGCGATCCCCAACACTGTCCGGCCATTTAACATAATCTTAGAACTATTCCAGCAGAGAGCTAGTTTGTTTTGTTCGTACTCTCTTTGAATAATCCGGGGTAACGATAGTGACTTTAGTTTGTGTTTTCTTTATATTTATCGTGGATTTGTCATTCAACATTAAATAAAAATCTGTAAATATAAATAAAATTAACGTAGGTATTTGTTTGTAATAGCGAAATAAATAAGTAGCTTTCATTGAGCTCAGAGAGTTATTTACATGCCCTTTAATTATGAATAACCATTTTAGAACATTTTAAGACCTCCCCTATAGATTGCCTTATAGAGGGGGTTTTTACCATAGTTGTTACGCTTGGCTGAAAGTAAGAAGACGCTGGTGCCGCCTGTATAGGAGGGGGGGCAAACGAGCATATAGCTCATCTGATGGTAAGTGATTACCGCCGTCCATAGACAGCTGCACCACCAGCGGAATTGCAGATAAGTTGCCGGCCTTTTAAAAAGGAGTACGCTCTTGTATTGTAGGTCACGAAGTCGTATCGGTCCGGAAAATCTCTGGTGGTAGTCGATTTCACAAGGAAGTTGTGCGAGGAAGAAACCTCCTTTTAAATCGCACAGTGGTGGACCACCAGTC